ACGAATCTGGCAGACTCCCTCTGTATCAACGAGGCCTCCTTCTTGTCCTCTTGCAATTCCCCCTGAGTCAGGTACGTAATGTACGGCCCCATCCATGAGTCGAGTTCCTCTTGGACGAAAAGTATACTCCCCTGTGTCCCATTAATACTCGGCTACGTTAAGGTCTCTTGGATGACCGACCGAGTGGCTCCCGGCTTCTTTGTGCTGGCAAGTTTGGAGAGTAGATCGGCCCTCGAGTTTTGGTCTCTCGGTACGTGGTTAAGAGTGAACTCTCGGAAGTTTTCTGATAAGAGCTTAACCTTTTCCAAGTATTTGGCCAATTGAGGTCCTTCGCCTGAAAAGTGCCAGCTACCTGCCCCGTGATCAGTTGAGAGTCGCTTCGCGCTGACAAACTCGTCGCCCCCATTTCCTTTGCCAATGCCATGCCGGCCAATAACGCCTCGTACTCGGCCTGGTTATTGCTTGCTCGGAATTCGAAGCGTAGTGATTGTTCCAACAAGATTCCTCCCGGTCCTTCCAGGACGATGCCTGCTCCACTTCCTCCAAGGTTCGATGCTCCGTCCACTGACAAGATCCACTGCGTCTCTCCGACCTCACCCTCATCAGCGGGCGCAGTCAACTCCATCACGAAGTCGGCTAATACCTGGGCTTTGATTGCCCCTCTCGGCTCATACTTGATGGAGTGCTCCGACAGCTCTATAGACCACTTCATCATTCTTCCTGCCAGGTCGGGCTTCTGTAATACCTGCCTGATCAGATAACCGGTTCGGATTATCACTTCATAACTCTGGAAATAGTGTCTCAACTTCCGCGTTGTAATCAGTATCGTGAGAGCCAATTTCTCAATCTTCTGATACCTCGTTTCCGTGCCTTGCAGGACTCAGCTTATGAAGTATATCAGAACTTGGGTGTTTTCCTGCTCTTGGACCAACACTGCGCTGACTGCTCGGTCGGATGCCGATATGTAAACCAATAAGGGAAGATTCGGCCACGGTTTTGTTAGGATCGGCGACGAGGCTAACGATTTCTTGAGTTCTGTGAAGGCTTCCTTGCACTCGTTAGTCCAGGCGAATCGATCGTTCTTCTTTAGGCATTGGA